GGTGGATTTTACAAAATAAGAAGACAAGGGTAATGTGAGCCAGACTGTGTGACTATAGGTAAGGAAAGCTATTTGGGATCAAAGTGTTAAAGACAGAGAAAAACAAACCGGGGGGGGGAGGGGAGGGGAGGAGAAGCTTGCCTTTTACTTTCATCCGAGTAACTGACATACTTTCACTTTTGGGCCATAAACATTACAATGGCAACCACAAGAAAAGCAGTAAAAACAGGAGAAGGAAGGAGAGGTTCACTTCAACAACTTACAGATAAGGGCATCATGCCAGATTTATTACAGAAAATGTTTGAGAAATTTGGCAAGAGGATGACTGAAACAGTTGCCGATAGTTTGGATGCTTTTAAAAAGGAAATGGAAGAAGGATCTGCAGGGATGAAAAAGGATATGAAAGAAGAAGTTAATAAGATGGAAGAATCTGTAGCACGATTAGCTGGAGATGTAAAACAAATTAATGACAAAGTGGAAGTTTTGGAAAGTAAGACAGAAGTCATAAACAGAGAGATGGAGAAAGGTTGGATAACTTGACATTACTGGAATTGAGAGAAAAAGAATTTTGTTTAAGATTTAGAGCAATTCTGGAAAACCAAGGGGAAGATATCAAAGAAAAGATTGTCAAATCCCTGTCTAACTTTTTGGATTGGGATGATGATACAGAGGCAGAGATTGACAAAGTTTATACAATTAATACACAATCTGCAAAATTAAGAAACGTTACAAGGGATGTCCTTGTGTACTTTGTCCGGAAGAAGACTAGAGATCAAGTTCTGCAGCAGTATTTTAATACCAGATTGAGGATTGATAATACAAATGTAATTGTACTTAAGGAAATTCCAATTAGAATACTGCGCAAGAGAAAAGAGTATTTTTTTCTGACAAACTCAAACAGAAAAAGATTGCATTTGGATGGGATAAGTTGGAATTGGTCATTTTTTACTTTTAAAGCAGAGATTCAGACTTAACTCTGTGCAGAAAGCAAGAGACTTTCTGGGAAAATTTGAAGAAGAAAACTTTAATTTTTTGACAATAATCTTAATAAAGGCACAGAAGTAAGAATGGTTTGGGATGCAAGCAAAGCTTTTATAAGAGGATATTTCATACAGCGTAATTAATAAAGGCACAGAAGTAAGAATGGTTTGGGATGCAAGCAAAGCTTTTATAAGAGGATATTTCATACAGCGTAATTAATAAAGGCACAGAAGTAAGAATGGTTTGGGATGCAAGCAAAGCTTTTATAAGAGGATATTTCATACAGCGTAACAGTGTATTTAAACAAAAAAGGCAAGAGAAAATGCAAGTGATTTTGGATGAGATAAAAAAAGGAAGAGTTTAAAAAGTCCCCAGAGAGGACAACTATTATCCACTACATTAAGCTTCTACAGAGGCAATTATCTATGTTAACAGTGAGAGAGATGGAAATAAAGAGAAATTATACAAAACATTTTGAATTTGCAAATAAACTGGGGAAATGGTTGGCATATAAGTTGCGAAATAAAAAGAAAAGAAAGTGATACTAAAGGTACAAGAAGAAAATACTGTAATAACAGATAAAGCAAATATGCAAAAAGTATTTCACCAGAATTATTCTACTTTATATGAAAGTCAAGAAATTTCCTTGGAAAAAGTGGATGAATATTTACAGAAACAGAATTTACCAAAGATTACAGAGAATCAGTCAAATTTTGAATGGACCTATAACAATAAGGGAAGTTTGTGAAGCTATTAAAAAGACTAAAACAGTTGGGATGCAAGCACAGTGTATATTAGAGTTTATTTTATACAACATAATACTGACTCAAATACATATACTAATTCAGAAGATTTAAAAGTCTAATATACAATTGAAACCACAGGCTTTTTTGGGGGGACTGATCAATAAACAGTTGGAAAAAGGTCATGGACATTTATTTTTATACATGATAACTGCAAGATTATTATACAGGTAGTCCTTGACTTACGGTCATTCATTCAGTGACCATTTGAAGTTACAGCAGCACTGAAAGAAGGGACTTATAACCCATGTCCAAAGTTATGGCCGTTGCAGCACCCCCAGAGTCATGTGATCAAAATTCAGGTGCTTGGCAGGCTGCCCCCACTTAAGACCATAGGTCTTCAACTCCCCCCACCCATCTTCTCCTCTTCTATGCCCTTTTGGCCCCTTCCACCCTGCACTCCACCACCCCAGCTGAACTTCACCATCTTCTTGCTCCCGCTGCTGATGAGGTGTGCCTGGCCTGGCTGCTGGGCCAGGCTGGGGCTGGGACTGGGCTTTGTGCTGCGAAAAAAAAAAAAAGCAAAAAACAGCCCCTGAGCCGTGGCATGCCAAAAAGCTCCTTTGAGCCCCACTCCTGGGATGGCAGGGTACAGGGTGGCCAAAAGAACAGAGATGGGAGGGAGATAGGTGAGTGGGAGGAGTTGGAGGCAGTCCCTTACTTTACTGATGCTTGGGGCTAGGAGGGATCAAGCCTGGAATGGCTTGGATTGGGGTGGGTACTTGCTTAACAACCTGTGATTCTCAATTAACAACAACCTGTTGCATGACTGCATCGCTTAGCAATGTCTCACTTTACAACCGCATCACTTGGCGATGGAACTTCTGTCCCAATTGTGGTCGTAAGTCAAGGACTACCTGTATGCACAAAGGTGGAAAGATTTGACATTACCCACAATGGAGGAAAGGATGGTGAAGATGATGGAACTTGCCGAGATGGCCAAATTGACATCTTTGATCAGAGAAAAGACATTCTCAAAGTTTATTGTTGAGTAGAAACCCCTTATAGACTTTTTGCGTGAAACAGGAAAAAAATGAACTTATGATATCCGGTTTTGATGATTAGAAAAAAATAGACTATAGAAAACACGAAAGTTATGCTGTAACCATAGAGTAAGAGGTAAATTTATACTTATAACTGCTGTAAAGAAAATCAGAAGCTACTTCTTTATATCTTCTTTTTTTCTACACTTTTGGTCTTTTCTTTCTTCTTTTCTTTATTCTAAGTATTAGTTTCTGTTAGTTTTTATCATTATTAAAATCTTAATAAAGTTATATTTAAAAAAAGACTAAAACAGAAGAGGCACGTGGTCCAGATGGTCTGTTGGCCATAACATAAATGTTTTGAGAATGAACTTTTACAATAAACAATGAATATTATTTTACAGAATGGAAAGATTCCTGACAGCTAGAAAGAGGCCAACATAGTATTAATACCTAAAGAGGCCCAGGACCTGACTATAACAAGAAATTATCAACTAATATCTTTACTGAATAATGGCTGTAAGTTGTTTACAATGATTCTGGCTGAAAGGTTGAAAATAATTTTACAGGACTTTATTCATGAAGATCAATGTGGGTTTTACCTAAGACAATTACAAGATAATATCAGAAATGTGTTAGATATTTTGGAGAGTTTGGAGCAACACAATGAAAACCATGCTGCACTGATCTTAGATGCAAAGAAGACCTTTGATCATTTGAACTGGATTTTCTTGTTTAGAATTCTGGAAGATATGAACTTTGGAGATAATTTTATTAAATGGGCACAATCAATTTATATGTCACAGAAAGCAGTCATGTGATCACGATCCCGGCGCCCAGGTGACTGGCTTGTGATTATGATGTTGCAGCAAACTGCATCATGGGATTGCCAATTGCAAAATCGATGGGGAAGCTGGCAGGGAAGGTCGCAAGTCACCCCATTAAGCGGCTCCCACTGCTTTTTCTCCCAAAGAACCTGCTATGGAATTCGAGATCCCAGGGATCTCAAACTCTGTAGCACCCCCTGCCCGCCTGCACTCTGTAGTGCACATCTGCCTGCTGCACCCCCTGCCACCCCACCTGAGGCCTCCGCCAGTCCTCCCATGGCTTCTGCTGGCCCTCCCGCAGCCTCTGCCAACCCGCCCAAGTCCTCTCCCAGCCCTCCTGTGCCCCGCCAACCCACCCGCGGCATCCTCCCACTACCCCACAGCACCCACCCCACACTCCTTACCTGGGACTCCTGCCTCTTCCTGCTTAATGACCCATGTGTCCTGGGGTTACAGCAGCAACTGGGACTGCCATTGCTAAATGATGCGGTCACGTGACATCACGCTTTACAACTGCATCGCTTAGCAATAGCAATCCTGGTCCCAACTGACGTTGTAACCTGAGGATTACCTCTAGGGACTACTGTTACCCTTAAAAATAGTTCAGAAACATCTGCTAATCAAAACTTGCCAGCTAGATTTTTAACTTACACTCACCAATCTGAATCTATCATGGTAATGGTTAACAAGTTTCATTGTCTCCAATGTACTTCTAATTCCAGTTCAGGCCAGCAGCTGGTTTTGGTCTTCAAAATCCTAAATACTAAAGGATCAGATACCTGTAGGACTGCCTCCTCCTGCATGAAACTGTATAGATAACAACTTCTTTCAAAGCTTTTTTTCTGGGGGCCTCTTTTGGCTGAAAATTAGCACGCAGCTACTTGGAAAAGGGATCCTTCTTTGGTGGTGCCCAACTTTAAAACTGCTCCCTAATTTATACCTGAAAGGCACTTTTTGCCAGTTTTATTATCTGATCCTGATTTTAGATCGAGTTTGGGGAAAGTGATTACACCACAGTATTACTGGAAACTATTAATTAATAACCCTATCCCTGATACACAGTATGAGTGGCAAAAGGAGATAATGGTGTTTAGCTTAATCCTGCCATGAAACTAAAGTAACTTGAAACAGCTGCATTAAGTAAACATTACTGAATTTAAATGTGATCTTTTTGACTTCCAGTCTGACTAAGAAAAAAATGTGGTTACTACTCACATACAATCTTGAAACAATCATATAAGTAAAACAATCTTTTTAAAAAGCTTAACACACTCATTCATTCCCATTCTGGATTATTTCAATATAAAATAATGTACCAAAATTTTAAAAATAGGGGAAAAAGTACTTAGCACAAAATCCATTTCTACAGACTTATCCATTTTGGTCTTTTTTTCAAATACCTTAAAACCATGCTACTCACCGACAAGGTGTAGAAGTGGTTACAGAGCAGGAATTCACCATCTGGGACACTTTCAATGGCCGAGAACTGATTTAAAAAAAAAGAGTGTTTTATTTCTGAAAACTATTATGTACAGCCATTTTGATGGGGATCCAAGTCAACACCTCAGCTGAAGAAACTATGACAAGCAGCTTTGAATTAACTATCACAGTTGTCACAAAATATATGGAAACCATTTAAATCATGTGCAGAGTTCTCTACAATGTTGTTTCATAGAGCAGCATCATAACATCTCACTTTTTCCTAATAGGCACTTTTATTGTTGGAGGATCCCTCACCTGGCTCTTCTCAAGTTCCATGTAAAACTGAGAGCAGGAATGAAAAACCTGCAAGTCCCAGTCCAAGAGATGCAGGTGGCCTCTAGCATCTCATTTAGAACATCCAAAATGGGCGCAGTCAAACTTTTGAGACCTGTTCTATTAGGGAGGGTTTGAATAGGCAAAATGAGCACTGTAAACTTGTACCTCTGAAATATTCTGAAAGCTTCCAAAATATGAGGTGGATTTTTCCCACTGGGATAGAGGTTAAGATCTAAAATGCCAGTCCCCTAGACTACGAGAATGTCCCAGTGTCAACGGCCATGCCACCTGCAGTCTTCAGCCACAGCAAAAGATCACAGAGCAGACCCCAGGTCAAAAGGGTTACCCACAACTGGCCTTGTAATGACCCTGGCCTAAAGAAAGGGAAAAATTAATCAAACTTATAGGATTGAATTTCTTAACAAGAATATGAAAAGGAAATAACTGATTTTCCAAATGAAAGTCACTGATCAAAAAATATTTTTTAAGTATCTGCACATATAATAATGGCAAGTAAGTCTAATTTTTACTTTAACAGCAAATATTCACTTTCAACAATTCTGGAAATCTATATTTATAGTGCAGCCTTAATTTACACACCAAGGGGGGAGGAGGTGTCTATTAAACCCCAAATGTCTGTTGAATGCAAATTCACATAACAGCAATTTATGTCATTTGAATAATGTAATTAATGTTTTAAGTCCATTCAAGTCATTTGCATAATAACATAATTGCACAAATGACATAAATTGATGCAAATGATGAAAAAGCATCAATTACAACATTACATATACAATGTAACTAATACTGATTCCCTAGACAGACTTCAGAAAATTCTAAACTCCCTAGACTTTTGTCCATTATTTCAGGGGTGACACTTGAATGTAAATTTAATCTGTTGTATTCAAAGACCATTAAATAGAGATCAATTAAAGTTTCAATATAACAAAAATAAACCAATCTATAAATACTATTACTGGAATAAGGGGAAGAACTCACATGGCTGATTGTGCACTCCACCCAAGATTAAGTGGAGGCCTTGTGCTTTCTGTACAGTGTGACTGCAGGGTTAAAAATCTTGGAATAATCACTTGCTGTCCTACTTTGTGATTGAGGGAGAGCATCACATTGAAGCTGTACCGTTTCAGATGAAGTATTAAAACCCTTTAAGAGACAAGAAGGGATGTTTTTTTTGTTATGTAGACACAACTAGTTCTCTTTAGCAATACCCCACCTTCAAAACTACAGGCTCTGCTTGCACTTTCTTATAAATCTATGCACTCTTAACATTCATTCTCCAATGAATACTGGAGATGGATCCACTTTTTCTTGTTCCAAAGAATGGATTCTGAGTGAAATTCCATCCCACCTTCAGCTGTGGGCAGAAGAAGATAATGCTGAAGATTTCCCTTTCCTTCTGCAGTATTCCCTTTTCCTAGAACGCCCTACCTCACTGTTCCACAAGATCCCACAACCCTCTAGAGCAGTGTTTCTCAACCTTGGTAACTTTAAGGTGTGTGGACTTCAACTCCCAGAATACCCCAGCCAGCATCTTAAAGCTGCCAAGGTTGAGAAACACTGCTCTTGAGCAAGTATTAGGCCTTAGGAATCTACAGAAGGAATAGGAACTTAGCAAAATCCTTCCAACTACAGGAAACAGATTTGGGGCCCAACCCATAGTTTTACATATAATAATCAATGGACATATATTTCTGCTGTTTCACCATTTTTTTACAATGAGAATTTTGCTTTTAAAATTTGATAGAAGCATTGTCAAGTTGATTTGCTAAACTTCTAGCTTCCAAGAATGACATTCTGTTCGGAATTTAAATTTATATAATTCAGTTATTTTAGGGCCAATAGCAAGCACTTATTTTTGCCCTAAATATTTTTACCTCATAGATCCTAAAGGTTGCCAGTATTTTCATGTAACTTTTGTACCAAGTTCACATACCTACCTGGGAAACCGACTGAATTTGTGTGTAACAAGAGCAGATTTTCCACTGCATTTCTCACAGGAGTATTCTATCTCCTCTGCCTAAGAGACACAACACATGCAAGGTTTGTAATCTGACAAAATTTCTTTTCAAATCAAATCTTTTCTTTTCTCTCCTCAGTTTGGTGGAGTGCTTGAACTCACTTAAACAGAACTCCAAAAAAACTTTTTCGGTATCCCTGCTTCCAAACAACTGAATTTATCTGCACCTCAGGATAGACAATCATCCCTCACACCAAATAACCATGAAAAAATACACAGAACAAGACACTGTAGAAGAACCAGAAACTCCAACTAACTTGTTTTTGAGATTAATCCAGTGAAAGTTGTCCCTACAGAGAATTAACACCTTCAGGGATTTTTACCATGACAGACTCTCCCCCCACCCCCAACATATAATTTATTTGCATTGAACTTGCAATTTAAAAACATTATACTAGAAATAATATTCAGAAAACTTTTACAAAAATAAGTAAAATTTAAAATATAATAAATAGTAGAAGGATATATATTGTATACCCGGAAAAAGAGATCCAAGGAATCCTGGATTGATCGAGAAGGAAGAAGCTTTTTCCTTCGTGGCAAGTCAATGGAAAGATCATTAAACTGTTCCCGCTTGGTGACAGTTTCACCACACCTGCATGGAAAAGTTTTATTTTATTCAGTTTATTGAATTTTGAATAACATAGAGATTTGTAACTTTTTAGCAGTAACGGCCACAAATTAGAGTGCAACTCCTTTTAATCCAGGTAGGTCATTATTTTTTGCCATTTCTTTCTCCCCAGAATAGTCTTCCAGCCTTCCACAATGCTACAGAGGTTCCCATAACCCTCTGTAACAGATTTTGTGGACAGGATGTAGGTAGGCTAAAGAAAGAACAGCCAAAATTGTTCCCATATTTTTTTATTGTGAGAGCATTTGCTGAATGAAAAGCTGTGTCACAGAGAAATGGTGCTGTTGGATTCCTCATAAGAGTTCAAATGTTCTTAAATCAGAAGTATACAATATTTAATATACACAATATTAAAATATTGACTATAGCTCTTTCCCTGACCAACTGCAATCTTCCACACCATGTGTAGGCACCTGTGCTCCTCCAGATGTTTCTGAATTACAAATCCCAAGATCTCATTAACTTCAAGCTGAGGTTCAGAGCCAATAGTTGGAAACACTTATTTAGATAAATTAATTGTTTAATTGTTCACTATTTTCAGCATCTTTGGGAAAATACATAAGGCCTCCCAAAGTCCAACCAAAGCAGGAATTTGAATAGAATGTTTATCTGTATACTTTTTCCACGCTAAATTAGCAATGTTCAGTGAATGGTGCCTACTTACATTAGAATCATCCACTATTTAAATTGCTTGAGAAGGAAGGCCTCGTGTGTGTTAACATCAAACTCAGTGAGAATGGTAAAAGAAAAGGGAAAAGAACAGAATGTGATAAAAATAATCTCTTTAAAGACTTACATTTTACATATGATTGAATGCTGAACTTCAAACTCTAAATTTGCAATTACTGGACACGTATAAACTTTGCTGACTGAAAAGTCATCAGATATGCGTCCAGACAAGCTGTCTTCACCAGAAATAGGCTCACTCTTCCAAGTTTTGTTCAGTTTCTCCATGTCCTCCTTCAATTGATCCAAGCACTGGCTTAAGAATTCATGAGCATCCTAAAATCATCAGTACATTTATTAAAAGAACAACTTTAACATCCTATTAACATATTTATAAAAGACTTCACTTATAGGATGAATATATAGTATAGATTTAATTATTTAAAGCTAGTTCCATATATTAAATTTGTATCAGAATCCCCACTACAGGTAGACCTCATTTAGCTACCATAATTGGGACTGGCAACTTGGTCATTAAGTGAAACAGTCACTAAGGGAAACACCACAATTTTACAATCTTACTTCAGCTTTCCTTTGCTTTACAGACTTGTGAAGGTCATAAATGTGAGGATTGGTTGCAAAGTTACTTTTTCATCACTGTTGTAACTGCGAATGGTCACTAAATGAGGACTACCTCTAATTCAATTAAAATTGGCAACATTGGGATTCATTGTAAAGAGTCATTAAGATAGTAGAAATTAAACTACAGTGGTACCTCTACTTACAAACACCCTTACTTATGAAATTTTCGAGATACGACCAGCTCCGGCCCCAAAAATTTACCTCAATGTGCGAACTCCGCCTCGAGGTACAGCCATTTTTCCACCCTGACATGTGGTCCGCGGCCATTTTTCCGTCCTGACACATGGCCTGCGGCCATTTTTCCGCCCCTGACACGTGGTCCGCGGGCATTTTGCTGCCCCTGACGCGCTGCGCGTGGGCGTTTTGCCGCCCCACCGAGCCCCTGATGTGCGGCGCACGGAC